ATTTTTGTTAAAATGAACGATTTATACATTGATATGACCCCGTTTTAAGCTACGGCGACCACTTATCGAATCAGAATCCTATTTTATTTAGTGAAAAAACTAGATATATGCGTAAGTTATAATATAAACAAGCTTTTATTTCACTTTTACACGGATACATATGTATATACTACTTTTTTACAATATTTATCACAAAAAAACCCTTTTACCTTTTATTTCTTATTAGTGAGCCTATTATATATGTATTGTATACGCCAAATATTACGCACAATTCCAGATTTTGTGCTATTTATGAAAAAATAAAAAATATGACATTAAAAAAAATTATAACATTTATAACGGAATTAATCTAAAAATTTTAATAACCTCAATAAAACTTTGCTTAACCTGAGAACCGAACCCGAGCCTTTGCACCTGCGAATACTGAACCAACGAGTCAACAGTAAGGTAAACAAAAGTATCGATAAATCTCTCATGCCGTTGCCAATGAGAAATTGTGGAAAAACAGGGTCGTATTTCCACATTATACAATGGTGGTACTTTGGCCGAAATTGGGGCAGCACTTTGGTCACGCGAACAGTTGACCACTTGTGTGATGTCACGATATAGGGACCACGTTGGTTATATATAATTATGTATAAATGTATAATGGTACCAGTGATTCGGTTCACAGCCATATCTTAAAATAGAACCAGCAAATAAGTTTTCAAATTTAAATGTAGGTCATTTACATCATAACATTAAAAAATCTTTCGTAATTTTAATAAGGTAACAAAAAAATAAACAAAATTCATAATTTGTTTATTGTCAAGAGTTACAAACAAATTGTAAAAATATTTAATATTAAACCGGCGTAAAACAACCACAGCGTTGTGTTTCGCCGTGTGAGTGAGGTTACCGGAAGCGCAATCCTTCCCCTCCCCCAATCCCTCCTCAATCCCTAAATCTCCAAATCCCTAATCCCTAAAAGGTCAACAACGCACTCGTAACTCCTCCGTTGCAGGCGTCCATGAGCGGCGCTGATTGCTTACCATCAGGTAATCCGTCTGCTCATTTGCTGACATATTACATAAAAAAAAATCAACTCCTGTTAGTAACCAATCTATAATTGTGTTGGGTCTTGTTTCTTCATAATTACTAAAATGTTTAGAATTACAAGTGTGTGAAGTGTACATAAAAACCATCACTGCAAATTATCCTACTTGAATGTAGACATAAAATGACGATAAACTTAAGTATTTAATTTAAGGAAAAGAGTCTAGACTAAGGTAAACATTGTTTTATTGATTTCGGTTTTGATTTAAAGAATTTATTCTAATAAGAACAATACAAAGAGTCACTTACAATGTGATATATATGTAATTCAAATACCTACCTGTAAATATATACATATACATACATACATATTTCTGGTTTGTGGTTCTCTGAGTCTGAGTGCGAGAATCGTCCCTGCGACATGTTGCATATGAGTGAGTTTCGCGTCAACAGCGCAGACATTCACTTGTGACCACTTGATTATCGCGGCAATTACAACGGGAATAACAGAAATAGAAAAAAAAACTATTATCACTCACTGATATCAATTTCTGTGTCCATTTTTATAGATTAATATCACGTCATTGAATTTCGAAAGCGAAGGCTGATGGTAACCTACTTTATACCGAACATAATATTTGTATTATCGTTATTGAAATCTGTTGATAAAATAATGTCAGACACGATTTTAAATTCCAAATACTATATAATTATGAATTTAAAATTAAAAAAAAAAATACTTTTAGCCTATATGAAAGTTGGACACGACACCTTTTGTTTTGTAGTCACTATAGGGACCACCCAACCAATGCTAGCCAGTCAGGTACCTAAATGTGAAAATCTTTGTTTAAAAAGTATAGAAAGCAAATCATTGTTACAAATTATACTGGATGTACAACAATGTACTAAACGGCATAGTATGTAAAAATGTTAAAACAAAAAAACTAAAATTATGTATACATTTATAATTGTCAAGTATTTCCAAAAATACCTACGCCGTAGTAAACGGCTACGTAATTTGCTACGATCGTAGGCGACGGCTTACAACTTACAAGATGCCATACAAAAGCGTAGCGGTGTAGTGTGTACTACGACGGTTGTAAGGTTGCGTGACCAACCCTCATTGGAATATAAATGGCGAGCCTTAGAAATACGTCGTATCATGGTCAAGTAAAAATTGTGACGCAATTTGCTTTAGGTACATGGGGATAAAAATTAAAAATGTTTCAAGGCACCAAAGCGTTAATTATAACGTAGCGTGGGTCCAATTCCCGTATCAGAAATATTGTTAGCGAGTTTTTAAAACTATTTTACAATTGCAACTTTTAAGTTTTAGGTAGCAGAGTAAAGTTCCCTAAATTGGTGCCCCGACACGATTTGATCGCCATCTTTTGGATGTGGTTGTCAATCTATGTGGGTCACTACAAAGTAATTAAAATAGAAAAGTTACGTTCGTCTACCGTATTAAATATATTAGAACTCTACTGGATTTTCTAACAAGATTGTCAAAGCCTAGTGCGATTGATTCTTTGCTTGATTTCCAATTGGATCAAGTTTTCCATGTGGTTTTTGGTATTGGAATATTCTCAATGCACAGCAGTCTGGAATTGTGTCTCATTATCTATATTACATAGACTCCTATAATTGATGAAATATATACATACTTATGCTTAAACATACCATATCGCTACATAATAATTATGTTTACAGAATATATTAATTCTGTTCACTAAGAGGTTATTTATTTGCTTAAATAAAGGTGGGTGAAGCGCCAAATTTTCGTATACTGGCGCCTGCCTTCGTCTGTCCCAAAGATAAGGATGCTGTGATAGACAAACCTGACACTACAATCATAACGTAAGTAATCTTTATCCTTTTGCACATATAGGTTTAACTAAATCTCTCTGTTCGTTTGTTCAAACGCAACTGAACTTTATTGTAGACACAATAGTAAGTACCTAAATGAGTGAAGCATAAGTTGTTCCTATAATATACATTATTAAGAGTAAAGTTACAACTACTTAAAAGCGACCAGCCAAAGCGGACGCTGTCTGTTTTAGTAAAAGCAATGACTATCTCCAAAGTTGTCTCTTTACACTCGTTTCAAAGCCAATAGACCACCACAGAGCCCTATAGGGCTGATGCGGTAAGCGCAATAAAGCACTGCGGCCTCAACCCACCAGTCAGGTTCAGCCCAGAGCAGAAGTAAAGGGGGAGGAGGGAGTTTTAGTCTGTAAGAGTCTGGCACTTCCTCACGCTTACCAGGGAGTGAGAGTCATTGGATAATTTAATCCGCTGAAAAAACAATCCTCCAAGTCGTCTGTCCAGTTTGAGGGTTATGGCAAACCTTATCTTATTTCTATCACATATTATTTGAGAACATAATAGAGTGGATTTTGCCTTAACAAAACTGAAAGTAAAAAAATTTTCAAGCCGAACCATGAGACAGATACTAGTTTTACTACAACAATCCAAGAAAGAATTATTCTCTCACTAAGTAATATCACGGAGGGGTTGCGTGACAGCCTGTTATTAGCAAATAATCTGACAAACACAACACAAACAGCTCTTATTATTAGTTTTTCTGATTAGAGGATCATTATTTTATATTTATTATGTAATAATGTGACATAAGACTTATTTTTTTTTACTAATGAGACTAAATACATAAACTAATGAGAATAGACTTAGTTTATTTTTGTTAGAGGAAATAACATTCCTAATTAAAAGGAAATTAGGCGCTAAATCCTATTTAGATTGTTTGGAGACAACAAAAGTAATAGTTATATATACAAAAATACGACACGAAGTAATTGAATTTAAGCTCTTACTATTTATAAGGGGTGATTTTTCAATAGTCAGATACATGGTATCTGAGGAAAAAAATTGTTGCTATCACTGTCTTATACAAACATTCTGACGCGACAGCATCATAATTATTCCCTCCCTAACTTTGATGTAACCATTGAAAAATCAGCCCTATATAATATTGTTTATTTTATTTCTACGGGTTGGAATACGACCAGATGACAAGAATGGTACACGTATATGTTCTTGTCTACCTAGTAGATGATGAGAAAAACACGATTTTCGAAGAAATCGCTGGTACTTACATTAAAAATATGTTTTAGCTTGCAAACAGACAGCGATATTCCGGTGGAGTACATATGGACCGTTCGCTGGGAGACGCTGGAAGCACCATCGCAGCAGTTCACTCTTGCTCTTTGGCGAAACGTACGAGAACTGGAAAGTCAACTGAACGACCTCCCAATGGAACCAAACGTCTTCGTTATTAATAATACTGAAGTATACATATTTAGTTGTTATTTTTTTAAATTGAAAATATTTTTGACATTCATCGCTCTGCCAAAGTCATAAGTCATTTTATGCATACACATTTCTTTCACTTTACCTTATGACTTATGAGGTATAGGGCACCTTTTTAATATATGACATTAAAAAAAAATTAGGTACCGATATGTTTGTTTGGCTCATGTTGATCACTGTGATTACAGATAAAACAGTTTCAAATTAACCTATTAGACTAATTTTCAATCAGACCATTACAGGCACTTTGAACTCAAGCAAAGCTTAAAGATAAAAAGTCAGCGTGTCGGTCAGTCCTCTTAGTCAAGCATTTTGCTCGTTCCAAAGTTTAGATTTCGATGGAGAAGAACTTGCAGGAAACTCCATGCCTAACTATCAGATATTATACGCCGAATGATTGATTAGATTGAAATTTGATAACAGATTAATATATCAAAATATGATAATTATTATGTGTGAAGAAATTGGTCAACATTCAGCCATGCATTTGTCATAGTACCTATATAATTATGCTTTTCTTTCAGCTTCTGAGTGGAGTAACCTATATTTTCAATGTAACGGCCACTACCTATCGCGATAAAGTAGGTACACAGAAGGAGTTTCGAATTAATAACGTCAAAGGAGACTCTAAGCTCTTGATGGAAGGTCGATCAGAGATGTTTTCTATCATCCTGCTTGGTGGGCAGCTCGCATACGCCGATATTGACTTTATGCTGGAAGCAAAAGTTACTGCATGTTATAAGACGCATGATTATTACGTAAGTATCTTAGTATATATTTTTATTTTTTATTCGTTTCTAGATGTAATGATTATCTAATATAATGTTAGAATATATAAGGTAGAAATTAAATTTTGTTTAATTTTCGTTAACGTTAAAAAGAAAATGATGCTGGCGTGAATATTGGGAGGTTAATGAGGTCTTGAACTTTCATGGTATTGCAAACATGTCAATTTGTGTTTATAGTAGGTACGGAGTTCGTAGGTGTTGTATTCTTTGATTAATATTTGATCGAAGGTTCTAATGTTAACTCCATAAAATCTTGACTAATTAAAATTATGATAAACGTAAAAATCATAATAGGGATTATTATATTATTATTTTAGTTTTCTAGTTCAGAAAAAAGGTCAGATTATCAAAGTCAAAGTCAAAATCATTTATTCCAACTAAACCATAAATAGGTACTTTTGAAACGTCAAAATAGAGAAGTAGTCTGTCAGTCTGGTCAATCAATATCATTATTTGCTAATATTATGTGAAACCAAAACGAAATGAGTTCCCACGACTATATTTTACCTGATCCCAGATGGTCCTTGCAACAAATCTGATGAAAGCATCTGTGCTAAACTGCTAACCCGCCTGAACTAGTGGCGCCAGGGCCCTGAATATATTTTACTTACGAAGTTGCATTGTTCTTTTTAAACTAGGATAAATCCAAAAAGTCTCTTTCTAAAAATATTAAAAAATAAATAAAAACCTTTTACCTTTTTTGATAAGAATCCTCAATAAATAACGTTAAAACACTCATGCTTGCTAGGTAAATATCACATATTTAGTTTCCATTTGTATAAACAGCTCCTCGATTGAAGGTGAAGGTTTCATCAGTTCATTGTTTCATTCAAAGAGCTCAAGATAGAAATTGAACTCTCTGAATAGGGTTAATAAATCCAATTGCATAGTTCTCATTCTTAGCAATTTATTGAAATGTAAAGCCTCGATTTGGTCACTTACCAAAGAAAGATAAAAATTCAGGCATAAAATATTCACAAATAAAGTCGAAATTTCGATGTCAAGATCTCATGGCCTTGTAACAACGCGAGCCAACATGGCGTCGCATCGTCTTAGCACCACTTTACCTGATAATGATTTTGGGTTGCTATTGTTTGAGGAGTTAAAAACATAAGTACGGTATTACACAGACAAAAGTTTCTGGTTCATGAATATGCCCGCATACCCTAAAACAATTATTCATTCAAAGATACTTTTGTTATGCTTATCTCTAGACAGACGAACATACCAACTCCTTAAAAAATATAGACATTACTAAGAATTTCCTCTTATTGTTATAATACAGATTAGTTTTTTACTAGTCGCGCCAAACCACAGTAAATGAATCGTGTGAGTGGTGCTAGAGTCACAGTGCTTGTCCATTGCAAGGTTTCACTGATCGTTATTAATTATATCGATGAACTTCTCTTGCTAAACCAAAACGTATTTTACTCACTTATAATAAATCAATTTTTTATTAACTTCTTGTTGAAATTGTCTTAGATTAACCTTTCGTTGTCTTAAACGTGGATCCACGCGAGACACAATGTATTTTCTATTGTGTCTTATAAACCGACATTCAACGGGTTAAATGAAATCAAATTCTAATTGAACCAATTATTCCTTTGTTTGTATATATAGGCTGTTACATAAATGTAAATAAGTACCTTAAAACTAAATATGCGTTTTGCTTAAATCTTCGCAGAACAAGAGGCAAATGTTCTGTTAATAACAAAATGTATTTACAATACCAAATCAAACTTAGAACTGCTATCGGTTGATACAAAATTATGCATCTTATCTTTCATATGAACAAAGAAAAAATATATAAAACCTACTTTTGTAAACGTACAAAAAGGTTGTAAAAGAGTTTGTTTAAAAAGAAATCTGCGAACTAACATTATACAGCTTTACCTTCTACAAAGTAGAACAATATGCACCTCTAATAAAACAGAAAAAGGGCTGCCTAATCCTGTTTGAGGACTTACGATACATTGAAAAGGCAATAAACACCAAACAGCTGTACCAAACTTCAAAATTTTATTCGCATTCCATAGAAATCAGTGAAATTATTATGTTGGAATTCCGATCATCATGGACCCAAGTACAGAGAAATACAAGGATTTTATTAGTCTAAAGTAGACTTATAAGAAACAGAAAAAAAAATGTCGTGGGTAACAAAAACAAACACAAATATTACTAAACATTTTTGCAATGACAACGAATGACATTTACAAATTGCATTCTCTTTTTACATCTTTATCCCTGAAAACCTTTCAAGGATTCCCGTGTGACAACTACTTGACACCAATCAATGGGGTGAACCTAGTACGATATATTATGTATCTACGGTATTTCCAGACTCCATCTTGCTATTAAACATTTTCTAAAAACCGAGAAAAAAGCCTTACTCTATGTCCGAATTAGGAATCGTCACTAATGACACCACGAATGACACAATCCTTATCACAGTCAAATTACTGTTCCCATGTGTGTGTGTGCTTTCAACGATTAAAATTATTTGCACTATTCAAAAATGTAACTAATTTTTCTTCTGCTTAAAAAACTAAGCTATTGTTGATAATTTAAAAACTAATCTATTTTTTAAGGCTGATTTTTCAATAGTCAGATAAATGTTAGCCGAGGAATAAAATTGTTGCTATCACTGTCTTATACAAACATTCTGACGCGACAGCATCATAATATATTTACCAGATATCTTTTATTTAACTATTGAAAAATCAGCCCTAAATGTTCTGGCATTTAGAGTACCGTCAGTTAAGAGCTATTATAGCATGAAAGCTATTGTACAACCACATTAGAACTATTTTTAATAGAAAACGAAGAAACTAAGATCATTTCTTTGTATACTTTTAGTCAAAAATAGACTTAGTCAGTAATAATGCTAACGATTAAAAACAAACATTTAATACACACAATCGATAAACTATCTCTAAACAATAGTTTTCATTTATTTGAGTTAATTGATTTCTTTTTTTTTCTTTTTTATAAAAAAAAACGTTGCCCCACATTAGGATTTTCTCCTGTGTCATGGGTGCGGTCACAAACATACCATTTCACATTCTCGTGACACCTAGACCCGGAGCAACAATTTGTGGATCAAACAAAGAGTTGTTCCGTGTGGGAATCGAACTTGCGACACGCTGCATGTCAGCCATTTTCCCAGCCACCGCATCAACCGTGCAGTCATTTGATTGTCCTGTACATCAATTGACGTCCTTAGTGTATCAATTTTCATTAGACTGAAAACCCAAGTAAACCCTAGTAAGATTAATGCTATATATAAATATATATAAAAGGCGAACGTTTGTAAGTACAAACGGCTGGATGTTTGTCACACTTTCAAATGAAACTACTGAATTGATTTTGATAAAGATTAGCATCGATATAGACTAAAATATTCTTTACTTTTTATACGAATAAAGCAAGTGAATCACTATAGCACAATTGCTATAGTGTACCATTAGTAATAGCATGTGTTTTGTCGACGAGCCATTGCAACAGTAATTAACTTATAGATGTATGCATTCTTATATCGATATTTTGTCTGCTTAGCCAAACATGTTTTGTATTACAAAAATCCATCCTTTATGTGTGATTTGGTACAGACATAGTTTGGAACTCGAGAAAGTACATAGGATAGTTTTTAAACCAAAAATCCACAGGAAGTCACTATTCCACGCGAACAAAGTCGCGCGCAAAAGCTAGTAAGGTAGTAAAAGAGTTATTTTAAAAAGAAACTTGCAAACAGTAACTAGCATTGTACGTACCGCCTTCAGTATACATTGCTAATAGAAAAGAGAAGGGTCTTTCTAATCCTTTTTAATAATAAAATTTATGATTCTTTAGAAAAACGGTAAACATTAAACACGTTAAGAGCAAATATGATAATTAGTTTTATTATCTCCTAAACAAAAGAACGAAGGAACGAACAAATAAAACTTCTGAGGACAAATTCTATACGAATGCTCCGTTTCTCTCCTAGTTTAGTGTTCAAATCAAATAAAAATGAAGCCTACATATTAGAGGAACGATATACATACGATTGTAAAACTGGAACCCTTTGAAAGTAATGGTAAATTTTTGACCGGGATTTATGTTTTCAGTTTTAATGGTGATGCATTTGTTGTAGCTTTATTTGTTGTAGCTTACTTTATCAGTAAGGCTGATATTACACAGATTTCTTTTTAAACTAACACTTATGCAACCTTGTTGTTAGTAAACAATACACGTCATTGGACAAACAAACCAAAAGAGTAATGGAAACATTAATATGAGTAATATTAGAAATGTATAACACATTTATTTCATACTTTGAAGTTATATCGATAGATGTGCAAGAATCTCGTTGCAAAGACTTAGAAAAACAGACAAAACAGGCGCTTAAACTTATCGTTATTCGAACCAAATTTAATACAAAATCTATCTTCGAAGCTTTCGGTAATTCGAGTATTCGACCTGATGACGGCAGCAAATTGGCGACTAACTATGTCTCATTTGAAAACTGATCTAAAACCTCTGTATTCTGAGTCTAAAACAAAGCTCGCATTGTATTTCGCTGTATGTATGAGGTCAAATCTTCCACCCTTAAAAATCCCAAATCTAAAAGGCGGCAACATATTCTTACTTACATAGATTCATACATAGGATGACTATGGTTAACTGTTAGAGAATGCCTTAAGGCGTTAAGTCCGCCTTTCACACTGTTTTGTGTGAAGAAGAAATAGATAAATAAAAAAAGGATGGAAATTCCTTATTTTTTTCTTAATGAAAATTGTGTGTGTTTTGGTATTGCATTCATTGACCGTGCCGATTTCTTACGATTAGATGAATATTCTGCTTGTTTGTTCATCTATCTCCGTACGAGGGGTTGCAATCGATTAAATGGACAAATATAAAATACTTTAGGCAATCAAGATTTAGTCTCCAGCTACCAGGATAAAAGTAACCTACGTGTCATTCCAGACTATATCAGTGCAAAATTTCATTAGATTTTTTTCGTTAAAACTGTTAGCAAAGTTGACATTTATAATTATAAAAACAAATTACTTATTTTTTTTATTTTCTGTTGTTTATAGTTTGTATGGACCGTAAACAGCTCTGAGGGCAGTGTGGCTGTTTCTGACGTGAAAGGCTCCCGGTTGGTCATCCGAGCCAATACCCTGACTCCTGGAGCGTACTATGACGTGGTCTGCCAAGTGTACAAGTACTCTACTGGCGATTTCATTACACAGGTATATTAGAAATAGTACAGTATAGTCACAGTCGTCTTCACAATAAATGATTTCCTAATAATTAAAGTTATGTAAAGTTCTAAAACTTCGAAGTAACTGGGGCTGGCCTATGCTTATCAGTGATTGTGTCACTGATATGACGATGAAGAGTATGGATTTTCTTAACAAGAAGTAATGTGTCTGTGTACCTATACTTTTCTTAAAGGTATAAGTGCCTATATAACGTGTGACTGTAAGAGGATGATCATTTTCCGAATTGGGCCGAATCCCAAGATGTGCTTTTGTTGTTTAATACGAAAATCAGAAACAAAATATTACGTATATTTGTACAGATTCAATCTTGCGAAATGCAGCAATACTTACTATCTCTAGTCATTTTCAAATGTACCTATTAAATATTGTTAAAAAAGATAGCACAAGCAATTTTATATATTTATTTTTACAGAGCAGTCTTCCATTCCGTGTGCTACATAGGAATGTCACTATAAACTTTAATGTTGATCTCATGTCCATATCAGCTGAGCGTCCTTTAAAGCTATCCACCGATATCAACAAACTGGACTATATTGGAGAGGGAATGACGGTAAGTTTCAAAATACATACATTTGTATTATTTTTGTAACAATTTAAAATCAAACGAATTATAGTAGACAAACTGAGATAAATAAAATTATTGGAAAAATTAAACCAATCCCAAATTGCTTCGCGTAATCTCGTGTCACTCGCTCAACGAGGGTATTTCAACTTTTCGTAATAATTGTTGCCCTGAAAATATAAAGCATACCTACGCTAGTTGTAGTTGAATGAAAGAGATTTTGATTTAAAACATTAACAGTGCATACTTTTGTAGATTGCTTGGGAATGCACAACTGGTGGCGAACCAGTGGAAACATTTTACCAGACCGACGATGATGGCCATTTGTATTTCCCATCAGGTTTGCTGTATGCTGGAGAGTGAGTTTGTTATGATATTTTTTCCCTATTTGTAATTCAATAACTTAAATTATGTAACAATCCACAAGTCCACCTACAAGATAGATAGATGTCGTAATTAAAGTCAAAAGTAGTCGGTGGAAGGAGGTCGTCTCCAACCAGCCTTCTTGGAAGTCACTGGGAGAGGCGTAAGTTTAGCAGGAGGTGGCTAATTTGACAATGATCACGAAAGTCCAACAATCAACCAGTTATAGTCATTTGAAAAAGGGGTGATTCTATAAGCAATAAACATTTTAGACTTTGTGACTGCAAGCTGTACTCTGGTAACAGTGCAAAATACTTAATGTTAAAATTAATCGCAATAATGAAATATTTAATTTAGTTTCGTGTATAAGCTTTAAAACTATACTTTTACACGATATCCTTGTATGCAAAAGTGATGCTGGCATTTCCTATTTAACCTTTGAGAGGAGAGGAGAGGTTCAGATAAATATAAAGAAAAGTGAAATTTTGTTATAGATATTTTGCGGGGATGTTGTAAAAGATGAAGAATGGACTTAAAGTTATATTAAAAACTTTTAAAATGTGATCTTGAACCTACAGACCATAATGTAACGGGCTAGTTACAAAAATGTTGTGTATCTGAAAATTTTCAAAACTGCATTTCTATTTATTTTATGTACTAAAATTATAACTTAAATTTAAGCGCTAGACTTTTACAATTATTTGTGAATATTTATTTTAATTCCTTTAATATGCTATAGGTATTTGATGAAGGTGACAGTTGATGTGCGAAGACACTCAATCTCTGAAAAAGCCATTACCCGCGTGATTGCTGTGGATCCCCTTTTACCGGTCATTCAGGTAATTGCACAGTGTATTAGTTGCACAAGCAGTTAAATAAACATTTTGAAGAATTATGTTTGATGTTCTAACAACGTCTTGGGAGGTTCTTTTTATTCATATGTTTCTTTTGAAAGGAAATCAATAAGCTGTTAAATAATGGTGCTTAAGTTTTTTCTTCAATCTTTTTTTTTGACAAGGAGCACCACTCCTTTGTGCAATGTCTTTATCTTTTAGGAATTATTAATAAATGAAAGTAAAAATGGTTCGCAAAAACTAAAAAAAAATGTGACATAGGTACAATACTTAGTCTTTGACTATATTTTTTTGGTTTTTGTATTATACATTTTGTGATACATGATATATTATCTAAGATATATGATATATTACGTAAAAAAATAAACGTAGGATTTAAAATCTTATGTATAACTATAAACTTAAGTGAAACTATTTGCGATACTTTGTCAAACATTTAAATTTTAAAATTTCATCAATCAGTCCAATCATTGATCTCAAATATAATATTGTAATAAACGGTGAGTATTTTATCAAAATATTCACAATAATAACTTTTTCTAAACATTTAACAGTTGCAACATATGCCAAGAGTCGTGAACGAAGGTACTGTCGTCACTATACATGCCAACGTCAGTAATGTGGTACCAGGCTGTACAATTACCTGGTACTTCAGAAGCAAGCACTGTTTGGAGTCAGAGTTCTCTACAGCTACCGATATCTGTGCTGACAACCCGGTAAGTTTTATTATGCCTTTTCTTTATAAAAATCTGGGCCTCACAGTATGATTTTCTTCTATGAGAACAATAATTATGTAAAAAACACAAATAATTGGTCAGTATGGAGTGGAAACCGTACAACGTCAACAGTTGCGCAAACCATGCAGTAGGCATTACTATCAAAATAGTGACTAATCCTTTTAGGAACATTTATTATGATGGTTAATGTTCCTAAGTGTGGGAGAGCCATATATGCTTCGGTACGAATGGGTCGGCTCGACCGAAGTGATACCACGGCCTCACAGAAAACCGGCGTGAAACAACCACAGTGTTGTGTTTCGCCGTGTGAGTGAGGTTACCGAAGGCCCAATCCTTCCCCTTTCCAATCCCTCCCCAGTTCCTAAATCTCCAAATCCCTAAACCCTAAAAGGTCGGCAACGCACGTGTAACTCCTCTGTTACGGGTGTCCATGGGCGGCGCTGATTGCTTACCATCAGGTAATCCGTCTGCTCGTTTTCCGACCTATAACATAAAAAAAATGGAGGAATTACTCCACTATTTACATAGTCGACAAACAAAGAAACAGAACTAGAATTATAAAACCATCAGAATTTTACTGAAATTGGGTGAATACTGTTTTTATTAGCTGGGCGTGGGACTGGCAATAAATAGGTGCTACTTCGCGTGTCATAAGTACGTAGCGGTCAGTTTGTTTCATGTTTATTTCATTAACGTACCAAAGTGACGGCTTTATGGAAAGCGTTTGGGAGGCAAATGTTTTCATATTACATTAACATTTTTACTACAAAGTAATTTAGTTACTAATTGGTAAAATACTTATGTAAATGAAATGTGACTTTCATATTAGGTTCTACAATTTGAAAGGTTAATATGTATTTATATCTATATGTACCAAGAAGAAATTATAACAAACGGTCAGCAACGCACTTATGACTCCTCTGGTGTTGCGGGTGGCCATAGGCGGCGTCTGCTCGTTTGCCTCCTTATCCATAAAAACAGAATTTAAGTCAAACTTCATCTACCATTTGCTAGTAAATATTTCAGCTATAACGTCGCTTCACTAACTCAGATAAGTGACCAAGGTAATCTTGCTTTTGTACAACTTTACTACATATTAAAATTGGACCTAAATTATTATTTCCATAAAGCTTTCAGGTGTTTGAAATTAAGGGTGAGTTAATATGAACATAATAAATGGCAATTACAAAAACTGGGTTCTATTCAAGTTAATCTTTTTTTGCCTTCTTTACAAAACATGGAGGTCCTGTTGTATCATTGTACCCATTAATCAAAAACATATCTTCCCGCAGCATGGCACAGAGATTTCGACACCGATAAACTTTTATTCCCTTGAACAAAACTTCCTGAGCGAACTGACGGATTATACCAATGAGACTAGTTGGAGGTCGGTATCAGCCAACTTCGAAGCTGCGGCTGGCAGAGTCAGGGTTGTAGCGCAGTGTAATTGTAAGAAAGACGAGAACTGCACTGGTGAAGGGGAAGTATTCGCCGGTGTTGTATTCGAGCTCAATGAAAGGCCTGATACAGGCTATGTCTTGGTAAGTTTCCCACACTGCTATTTCTCGTAATTAATTTGTTTTGATCCAAAAAAGTTTTAGTATGTTTTACAACTTCATTGGTAATAAAATTCAATTACATATTTGTAAAATTATTTTATGTTGGTTTTGTAGCTATAGCTAGCTTTATAGTAGCTTAATATTCATTTGTTAATTTTGGTAATGTTCGTCTAGTGGTAATCACTATCTTTTGAATATCTTTTATTTGTTGTTTATTACAAATACCGTTCATAAATAAAATTGAATAAAACAGTTTTGTATAACTTTTATAAGTCATTTTGATATCCGATCTTAAGACTGGCAAAAAGCAATGCAATAATAAATATGGTTGTTATTTGTTTTAGCTATTCGCATTGTCAAAGGATTAAGGTTATTAGCAGATGAATCCTTTAAAAATGTTTTACTTTAACTTGTATAATAATAAGTTCCGTATTTAGAAGTTCGACGTTCGAAAATTTGAAACAATACTTTTTTTTTCATTTGTTTCTAACCGATGACACCTGCAAACTTTTTTTGTGTGTAAATAGTTTTATTACTTTAAGGATCTTTTTGCTTTTATAATTCTAAAAAAAATTTAAATAGTTCTTTTAAATGGTTTTAAATCTTAACTCTTTTATTAATATTATAAATGCGAAAGTTACTACTATGATTGGATGCTTGAATGTTTGTTACTCAATCACGCCAAAACGGCTGGACGTATCTGGATGAAATTTATCAAAGACATAAGATACACTCCAGAATAGAACATAGGCTACTTTTTATCAACATACCACGCGGACGAAGCCGCAAGCGGAAGCTAGTCTTACATAATAAACAAGTAAACGGAGTCTTGAATCGATTTTATTTTCAATAAATTATTCATAATTGAAATGACATAAATTGAAAATTTTTGCATAGGTTACGCCAGAAATGGGAACAGCGATGGAAACAGTATTCCGTCTGAGTACACATCGCGTACCAGATGTTAACAAGCCACTGAAGTACACCTTCTATTGCGACCTGAACAACAATGACACTCTGTTGCTTGGCACTTATCTTGAACATAATGCGGTGGAGACTCTCTTACCTTACATTGGTGAGTGTGAATTTTAAAAGACTGAATGTGAAATACATAACAACAATGTTAAATAGAATACTTTGATGATCTTAAGTCTCACAATTTTATAAAAGTGATAGAACAAAAAAGCTATCAATGGCTTATTTATATTTATTTATAATTAGTACCACAAGTTGAGAGTATTTTACCAAAACCCTTATATGCATCAGCAAGACACTGTTAAAGAATGTAATCGACATAAAGACAAATTGCGTTCAATAGCTATAGTAAAGCATGTTTGTCTACACGAATCTTCTACTACGAAGGTGATTTATTCCAGGGATTATCAGAAGAAACAGATGTAAAAAGAATTAAAAGAAACATTTAACAAATTATTTGTATATTTAGAAGTTAAGCACGGTGCTTGTCAATAAGCATCTGCCAACCAATACAACAAAAAATGTAACAACAATACATAGAAATAAAATGATGATGGTACCTACTTTTGATTTATTTACAGAGGGTGGAATAAACGTTTGGGTTGAAGTATGTGACTCCCTGGGCGCTTGTACGCCTGGATCTACCACCTTGGTGCCAGTAGCTCCGGGCGAGGCTCGCACGATCGATGCGTTGATCGAAGATGTGCGTGCGCATGTGCGACGTTGCGAGCTCACGCTACTACGGCGGCTTGCAGCAACTGCTGTTGTCAGCTACACTGTCAGTATTCTATTATTGTACTTAAAATCTCAGTAGTTTTTTTCTTCTTTGTGTTCAATTTCAGAAAACTAAGCAGTCTAATATCGCAATTATTGTTGTTATTCCGGGTCTGGGTATCATGTGTACGTGAAATTGTGTGTTTGTAACCGCACCAACAACACAGGAGATAGTCATAGTGCGGGGCAATGTTTTTTTTTTAAATAACAAAAATGCCGTTTTCATTCCGCTATGACGAAGCGTATGTAACTGTTCAGCGTAGCATATTACATTGTTTCTTGTTTGCTTAAAATTTTTTTAAACGATATTTTAATTCATTCATACTAAGTTTTAAAATGATATTGTTCCAGAACGCAGCCCAGACTGAAGCATTTTCGAAGTTTACTACTTCGCTACTGAATGCGTTGGGTGGCATCGAAGAACGCTGTATCGAACGCAACTACGATTTATACAATGATTTCATGTACTGGCTCCAGAAAGCCGGCGTAGATACCACTAAGTTAGTGTAGTTTCAAGTAAATACGAAATTAAATAAATAGTAATGTAGAAGTAGTTTAGATAAAAACTATTATTTTATTTGAAATCCGAACCTTAGGGCGAACAGGTTCAGCTGGGGTTGCGGGGTGAGCGCAATGAGGCACCGCGACCTCGGCCCAGAGCAGGAGAAGGAACAGGGGGTTTTTAGTCAGTAAGAGTCTGACACTCCCTCTCGCTCGGCCCTGGGCGGGAGAAGTCTTTTGATGATTTTCCCCTCACAAAAAAAGGGGGTACAGGTTTCAGCCGGGGCTGCGGGGTAAGCGCAATGAGGCACCGTGACCTCGGCCCAGAGCAGGAGAAGGAACGATAAGGAAGGAAGTCATTCGATGATTTTCCCCTCACAAAAAAAAATGGGGGAACAGATTAATAGAACCTTAGGAGAAACAGATTATTGACTGACTGAATAATTCTCTGGTCGACTGATTATATTAATTGTACTGCCGTTTAAATCCAAAAAGTAAGTAATTTTATTGTAAAGACGGCGACAATTACTTCCTAGTCCAATATACCTACGTATTTAAGCGGAGCAGAGTTACTAATGAAGAATAAACCTAAGAATGACTACATCTATGAATTGCTAACATGAGATGTTAAGGCCTTGTGAAAGGAGGTAAAGTTTTGCCCTCACTGTAGCTGAGAATTCACAAAACCGAAACACTTAATAATATTTTGCTTGACTCGATATTGAATCAAAAACGCAGTCAGACTACGCAAGTCTAAATCCAATGAAATCACTTTTATTTGTTAACACTGATGCATACAGATAGGAGTCTTATTAATAACGAAAAGAATTAGGGCGTAAAAAATTGAGATGAGAATTAGACGGTTGGCACGGTGGCTGGGCAACTGGCTGCCGTGCAAGGTGTCGAAAGTTCGAACAACTCTTTGTGTGATACACAAATTGTTGTTAAGGGTCTGGGCGTCACGTGTATGTTTTAAAAAAAAGAATGAAGGAAGAATGCAAATCAAAGTAAAAGAAAACTATGACCACAATTTTAATTGTGCAAGGTCTAACATGTAGCTAGACCTTATTATCAACAAAAGAGTTATTTTTAACTCGTGTTTGTTAGGTGAACTTTATTAGAAAACGAAATTTTACACAGTTATAATTACCGAGTCATCATGAAACTTAGCGATTATATTATTAAGATTAGATGACCATACAATATTATGGTACTATCAAGCTGGTTCCATGATGGTATGATGGGATTGGAAAGTAGCTGATTGAACATGGACCTACTTACAGGGACAAAAAAGTCGCTTTTATTATGCATTTAAAAATTTAAAAAAAATTAGACATTTTTACTAGAAGGTCATTGAAGGTTAGCAGTCTTGTAATTGAACACAATACATATACATATAAACACACCAACGCAATGTTTAACATTGATGTCAGATTTAGAGAATGCACATAATGTACGCAGCGAAAATGTATTTACTGGAACAAGAACCCTCCTAGGAACGCTTGTTAGCGATACGACAACTGCAGTGCGCGCCGTAACGACAAAGCAATACCTACGTAGCGATATCAGCTCACCTGGGATGCGCCTACATTAGGAACAGAGGCGATTTTGATTTTACCTCCATATTTTGCATTTTATTCTATCTAACACTAGCGACCTAGCGATGGCGGTGCGTGAATGCAATGCTGATATCAGATTCCTCCACTATTTAATGGATGGAGATACATACATATGTATATAAATCTTACTCTTGAATCAGTCGACCAGACGACATTTCGTAGTTTTAAAGATTTAAGCATACATAGGAATATAGGGATAGATTAACTGACTTTGTTAAATAGTAATGTAGTGATTTAACAAAACAATCATGTGAACTTAACACCTACTTTATATTATAAATACTCGTAAATAGGACAAACAGAATGAAAAATCGAAAGATCGAATTTGCTAATTATTCCTTCACATATATTTATTTATTTTATCCAGAGAAGGTTTTTATAGAAAACTTTTTTGAAGTGATAATCAGGATGTTTCCAATCCTTTTGATACATCGCCAACTCACTAACAAAACGAGTGAATAAGACTCAGAGTTGGATAGCCGCGTGAAGCAGGGAACGGCCACTATTATTACATATTTTTACATGTTGAGGACAAGTAAAATTGATGGCGTCAAGTTTAGCCAGGAGGCTTAATGCGCCAGCTTCTCTAGGCTGTTGGAGATTTTTTTGAGTGATATATTATTACTAAGATTATTTGGACACTACTTTTGTACGGCAAACAAACATTCGCAGTAAACCTGAAGTTAAATTTCAAATCGCTCCAATCTAACTCTAATAAGTGAGGTGATAAGGTGGCGGAATGGTGAAGATACCTTTTCTTCGAGACAATTGCAGGCAGATATTGTGATGTAAGATAAAATTTTATATCAAATAATGCAACGACAATTTAAATGTAGTAGAATATTCAGCTGAATATGGGTAGGATTTTATGAGGATGAACCAAATAAACGCTAACATCCTTCAACTTGCAGCATGTATAATACGCGGCGCTAGCTCGCGTGCTCCGTTAACGAACCGATACACGATCGAAGAAAAAGCTCCTTACAGCCTCCAGCAACGTAACTCGATACTGTGATCCTTATTTTAACTGCAAATACGAGGACTGCACTCGATTCTTAGCAAACACGGATAGAAAATGTTTTTTTATCTAAGCTATCGCCAAAAAGTTCATTTGGCATTATCAGAGGACTTACAACTAGTTACTACTTATATTTGCTGAGTCATTCCTTTGGGGAGAAGGATCGGGCCTCCGGTTTTCTCACGTTCGCCACCAAAAGACATTACAAGTGTTATTTTAAGCAAATTTTGTATAAGACACCAGTCAGGGGTCAAAATTCTGACTTTTCCATGTGAAACCAATATTTAATAAGTTTATATTATAGCATTATAGTACAAGTTTGTTCATTTCAATTTTATATTGTCCAAATACCTAATTCTACGAAGTTTATATTTACAAAACCAAACTCAAGAAAAAGTGATTTCTGTTAGCATTGTGTCTGTAACTTGATAAAATTTGCGATCAATTAAAGTTTACGAACATGTATGTGCTCTGAGATCACTATACGAAGCGCTTGTGAAAATTCATTTAAAATGTAATAATTCTGTTGTTTGGTCATCTGATGAAGTTAAATATAAGTTAATGTTAGAACGTATCCAAAATAAATTTATTAGATTTTTGTATTGTAAGCAGTACAGCGTGTATCCAGGGTATCCGCTGTTATATGTACTATATATCATATTCTATTTGTGCTGGACATGGTAGGGTATTACAGGCTAGAAGTCAGAAGGGAAGTCGCTCTGGCTCTTACTTATTAAAGATATTGCGCGGCAAGACACATAACCCAGATGTGCTGGCAACAGTGAGGCTGTGTGTACCGGACGGCTGCGCTCAGCGCCGGGGCTGGCCGCCGGGGCCGGCCGCCGCTGCTGGTCATGCCGTCCCCGCGGACCAACCTGCTGCAGCGTGCGACCGCTGACAAGGGCGATGCGTGCGCTCAACATTTTGTCACATCAGTTGGACTTGTTTAGTTGTACCAGGAGTGAGTTCACAAGAGCGGCATAATGTGCAGTGTGTGATAATTTGTAGTATATTTATTGTTTGTTAGTATATCTACCTATACCAATATTATAAAGAGGTAAAATTTGTAAGTTTGTATGTTTGTAAGTTTGTATGTAGGGGGTAATCTTTGGAACCGCTGGTCGGATTGCCAAAATATTTTTACTGATAGATAACTACAAGGTTCCTGAGTGCTAGGCTATAAAACGTCACAATACAATTAAATCGAGCCGAGCAGCGGGTGAAACCGCGAGAGTAACTAGTTGCTACATAAATTAAGTTGAACTGTTTTGTTATTTTCAAGTTATAATAAAGTTCACTTAACTACTGCAATGAGAAACTGTAATGGCAGTTTTAAGATATTTTTTCTAAATAAATAAAGTAGTTATGGGAATTGAAATATATAGTACACTGAATTCCAATTTTTTGTTAATTTAATATTTTTCTTACTAAATAGTAAGACGATTCGTACAACCTAAGAACTATACCCACTAATAGAATAAACAATACTAGGCACTGGATAGAATTCCACCGACCGCAAATTCGACCGCCACTGATATACAAGTCATACATATGAGTGAAGCGGTTGAAATAAAACTCAAACAATTTCAATCTTGAGGACGCCTTTAAATTGTCATCGACGTGCAATCCAGTGACTCGCATAACACAAACTTATTTAAACTTTTATTTAAAGGCGGTTAACTCATTTATGGATACGGTCAGCGTAATGAGTAGACGGCTTTTATAGTAGAAAATGAAAATAAGGGGGTAGATGAAGATTCATCGCCCGAATGCAGGGAGTTGTGACATCGCATCCTCATTCTGCTTACGACCTGTGCAAGCACGTCGAAACATCTTGCCTTGCCGTAGCTTCCAAGGTATTTTAATATAATTACTTTTCGCGTTGAGGCCCGTTTAATAATACGTTGTAAGAATAAACAAGTTATCAAGCGATTGCTTGCTGTGTGTGCGCACTGAAGAAAAGGCCTCTTCTCACAACGGGCGACTCACTGCACGTGCTTCTGGCAATCTCAAATCTATAATTAGAAGGTAAGCTTTTCTCGCGATATTTTATTTCACAATACTTCTTTAGTGGCTTAGTTTGATAGATTTTGAGGCATCCTCAACCTCATGAGCAAGAAATGGATATTAATTAATATTTATACTTATACTTAATAGTTTATTGCTTGGCATAATGTGTAGGTACATAAAACAGTTAGGTTGTTAGACAAAGAATCAATTAAGGACCTTGTCGGTCACAGCAAAGTAATTTTTTACAACCTCAAGGCCGCCACGACCCTTGCAATTTGTCGAAGCGATTCGAGATTTAATTTAGTTATAGTCAATGATATTATATTAACACAGATATGTTATACCCACACAAAACGCACGAA